GTGGTTGCGTGTTCGTGGATTGCATCGGCGCACATGGTCCTCCAGAACTTGAACAGGGGAACTCTCTGTGATGGCTGCATACTCTCAGTATGCAGCGAAAGCTTCTCCTCCCCGAACGGTTTCGCATATCGCAACCACATATGATACCATTGTAAGAGCGTGTGCCGGCTGCTAGCAGGGTCGTCTCCCCACATGATCTCGCCCACCTCCTCCACTCGCATAATTCTCATGCCTTGTAAGCTGAGTTTGTCCCTCAAGTACATATATCTGGGGCGGTTTAACTGTACAAGACTTCTCTTAAATATCATAGATGAGCCTCCAAAAATGGATTTGATGCTGCTCGTCGGTGTTATTGAATCTGGTGTAGCTTCTCTTTCGCATGCGTTGTAGTATTTTATCGCTTTTGCTCGCAAATGATATGTATGACTTCCCGGCGCACCCCAATCCGGAACCCACGATGGCAAGTCACTTCTGAACTTTCTTCCCAGTTCCGTACTAAATACTGAAAGCGATTTGGTCGAGTATATTGATTCCAGCGTTGCTTGGCGATAGACTTCTTTTTCGCTCAGTGAGTAATCTGGTGTCAAAGGTTCTCTACCAGGCACAACTTCTGCTATGCTAAGGAGAGCGAACACCTTGTCTTTGGGTTCAGATGCCTTCCTATCTCGGAATAGCCTTAGCAAGTCCAACAGGCCCAAGTAAGCCGTTTCTGACTGATGAGTATGGTAACGCTGTCGGAGATCCTCTATCTTTGACATGGTCTCGAAACTGTTGCGCACGACAGCTTCTTCGTCTCGAGGCAATTTTTGGAGAAACTCACGGCAGCACGAACTACTGTGAACTCGGTACTCCTTTGCGGCCCGAGCGAATATTATCCATGGCGCAGAGATTGTACCGTACAGAATAACAACTTGGGGAGGAAGTGCCACCTCTTGTATTACCCATATTCTGGACCACCAGGGCGTAAATGGAGCATGCATGAACATTCGCAGTGCCTCGAAAAAATGCATACTGTTCTTGTAGCTCTTGTGACCCTCGGAACTTGTGCCTGCTTCTTCCTGCCCACCATGAGCGGACAAGATTTCATGCAAGTGATTGGACTCGCTCAACTTAAAGAAGAACTCAAACACGTTGTATAGTCCTGGTTTGTCACTTGGCTTCAAGGTTGTTTGAGCATGGGGATGCGTACGATATTTTCCAAAGTCTAGAATAGATGTTGGCTCAGTCGATGCTCCAACAGTGCTATCAAGGCTCTGTCCCAAGTATACAAGACATTCTTGGCAACTCGCATAAATGCGTCCCATGAGCTGGACCTGATGAGTCCTTTCTTCGCCATTCGCCTGGTCAATGCATCTGGAACAAAAAACACGACAGGGTTAGACCTGAACTGTAGATACATGAGGATCAACGGTACTCACAACGCATCAACCCAAAGGACTAATCCTCTGTTGTACTTTGCTCGTAGGTGTCTCAACGCACTCTCCAGATTCAAGGTCACGGGATAGCTACGACCATTAAGTCGGACGGATCGTTTGTGCAACTGTGAGCCCCATACATAGGATAATGCTCGGTATCGCGCGAATTTGATCTCGGCGCTGGAGAGTTCGCAAACGATGGGATCGGCCCATCTGCCAGGCTGCAGCCATAATACCCTGATCTCGCCTGCTCGAAGCGGATCACCAGGATATGTCGGTTTCGTTGGCACACTCAGCGCACTAGAAGGTGAGAGGAACATGCTTCTCTATCCACATTGAGCTATAATGGTACGAGACCTACCGTAGGACTGGGCGTATAGTTTGGCATGGTGCTCGAGAGGCTAGCGGAACGGTGGGCCTTGTGTATATGTACTTACTGCTCTTACCCCGCGTCATGTCAGGCCTACCATCAACCAATAAACGACAGAACAACCCTCGCCTTGCAAGACACGCTAATAGAAGCAGATATGGTGCTTTCAAGTGCGAATGTCAGTGTATTCTACCACTGATGTGGTAGTCCAAATTCACTATCCCATTAATAGGACAGGTCGGTGGAGATTCCTCACCCATTCAAATCTCCGAAGTGGAAGCCATCAAACACGATGATATGGAGACATTCGTCATATCTGTTTTTCAATAAGGGAGAGCGACATCATTGCAATCCATGTATGGGTATGGGGAAAGGTGGAAACATACTCGAAACATGTGCGAACTGCCCATCTCTCATGGGTCTTACCCGATGTGGCATAGCTCGACGGAAGTGACATCTGGCTCCAACCAGACTACAAGAAGTCCGCAACCAGCTCCACGTAGTGTGCCCTCAATTGACTTGACGCCCCTCGGCGCTCCCGGCAACTCCAAACATGAGAGGTCTATGGGCGCTTCCGGCCGTGTTGCGCATCGCGCTCGCGAGCCAACATGCGTTCAGTGTTTTTGATGACTTACTCGCTTTTCCCCAGGTATGACGCGCTATGACCGACATCATAGAACTACACGCTAACATGCCCCGAGTATGAGGTTTTATGGCCAGACACATTTATCACCGAGAATGAAGCGACTTCCCTTCTTGCAAGCGGATCACCCAGCTCGAGCTCAGCGACACCAGGATCACAGGAAACACAGGAACTCTCCAAGCGCGATAAGCCGGTTGCGGACACAACACCCATAGACGATGCGCTGGAACATACCTACGAAGCAGTAGTGTTACACGGACAACGATACTTGTGCAGCATACCTATAATACCTGAAGAAGTCGCCCAGAACGACACAACCTCTGCGGAGGATGCAAAAGCAGAGGAAGAGAAGGAGCTTGTACGCGCAACGGACCGTGGATGGGAGCTGCTTGAGGGCATGCGAGACAATTGCATATACTATCTGAGCGGCTGGTGGAGTTATAGGTTTTGCTACAAGGGCGAGGTCAAACAATTCCATCAACTTCCACCGGGTCGCGGAGTTCCCATATACCCGCCAGTAGAAGACGAGAGCGTACACAGCTTTGTGCTTGGAAGATTTCCTACAGAAGAGAAGAGCAAGAAAGCGAATGCACGCAAGACGCTCGGCAATGAGCAAGGCAGCAAGGAGGGCTTTGATGACGAGGGTGATGAGGATGAGGGGGATGCCGAAGCAAAGGGCTTGGAGTTGCCCAGGCTGGAGACAAAAGGCTCGAGCAGGTACATGGTCCAACGGTTATCCGACGGCACCGAGTGCGATCTGACCGGTAAACCACGCAAAATCGATGTTCAGGTGTGTACTCCGACGCGATTGCATTATGCCTTGCCATACTGATGCAACATCTAGTTCCACTGCAATCCGCAGTCGGCTGACCGCATTTCCATGGTCAAGGAAACGAGCACATGCTCGTACCTAATGATCGTCGACACACCCCGTCTTTGCCACGACGTTGCATTCACACCACCACAGGAGAAACTTGCTCACCCCATCATCTGCGAGCCCGTCATAGCAGAGTCAGAAGTGGAGTCCTGGACTGCCGTGCAAGAATCCACCAAGTTGGCTGCAGCTGAGCGGCTCATAGCCGCCCAAAAAGCTGCTGATGATGCCAATATGAACCCGCTCCGTGACATTACAACTGGCCTTGAAGGCTCGACAAAGCGCGGACCTATCATTGGTGGTATCGAAGTCGGCGCAAAGAAGCTTGTCGGTAGTGAGGGCAAAGTCATCGAGAAGTCGCTCGTTGTGGGTGGTGGCAAGGAATCTTTCATTGTTGTAGCCAGCAGCGACGGAAAGCAAATGACCAAAGAAGAGATGAAGAAACACGACATAGGCAATCTCAAAGATGTAGAGACGTTCAAGAACACCCTGAAGAAGAAGGCAGGGAAGAAGGGATGGAAACTGGTGCTTGCAACTACGCGTCAAGGCAGGGAACTAAGAGGCATTATTGATACTGAGGATGACGTCGGCGAGAAAAAGAAGAAGAAAAAGAAGGACTCGAGCAAGGATGAAGACGAGGAGACTGCGGGTATGGGAAGAGAGAAGGAACGAAAGAAGGACACTCAGCAGGAAGATGAAGAAGACGTCCAAGAGGGGAGTGAGGAGGAATACAAGGATGAATTGTGATGTACTAGATTCTGCTTCACTGCTTGTAACCATTATGTAGCCCTTTTTACGAATTAATGATTAAATACTTTTGCATTTGCTTTCAGCAAATTCTCAGACGCCCCTGGTAAAGTAGGGTACATACTTTTTCCAGCTTCACCAAGACTGCAAGTTTCCCAGTCCACATATTCAGCGTCTCCAACACAACCAACAACACCCAAACACCCCCCCCTCCTCTCCCACCCATCCTTCTCAATTCAATCCTACCTCCCCTCTCCCTCCCCTCCTTTGACTCACACACCCCCCACCCCAACCACACCCAAAGTCCGCGCCCGAAAGATCAAAAGCGGGGCGCACAGAGGCGCAGCCACGAAGGACTACATACTTTTGCACGCGAAACAAGACTAAACCGTACAGGGACGCATGTGTAAGTGTGCAGGTTGGAACTCGTATATGCGGGTGGGGCTGTCTTTGCTCAGCCACGGTGGGTTAGTGCGTGGTCGGTGAACGAAGGGGGGAAGGAGGGATGGGGGGCAGATAGTGGAGGTGGGGTCGGGCGTGGGTAGGGAGATAGGCGGGTGTGGGATTACGGATTCTGGACGAGGGTACAATGATACGGAGGACTATTTCGTGTGGGCTGTTAGGATGATTTGGTGTGTTGGGGGCTGGGAGCTGAAGGAATGGTACATTGTTGTTTCAACCGCGCGTCAAGATATGCAAAATCCAAAACTCTGTAGGAGAATCATATATTCGGGTGATGATGATGAGATATACTATCAAATTCGACAACGAGATCTAATCTCGGGGTTGGAAATAGAAGAGAAAAAAAAAACCAGAAAAAAGGGAGAGGGGGTATCCAGCTATAATGACCGTGCACCAGCATCATGTCTTTCCAAACAAAATCCTCAAAACAAACGTCGCTCGCAATGAGCTGCGATACAAACAAAACAAAAAACGATTTGGCTATTCCCTTCACTCCTCCTCAGACTCCACATCACTTTCTACAACAGCAACCCTGCAGGGGTTACCATCACCAATGCTCCAACCACTTCCATTTCGTACAATGAGACCCTCATCGAGCAAATAAGACTCAAGTCTCGTATCCTTATACCACATAGCGCAATCAAGCATATCAGCTCGACTCGCATGATCCTTCTCAAGATGGCGTCCGATATGCTCGATGCGCTCATCCCAAGAGTTTGCACCTTCGAATTCGCAGTTGCAAAAGAGGCAGCTGGAATGCTGAGGCGGGTCGCGTAGCCAGCGGTTGCAGCGGTTCTGGTGCTCGGAGAGGTTGGCTTCGGTGACGGGGTACTCCTTGATAGATTGGGGAGACTTGTCTTTGGGGGCGGCGTGCATGCGGCGAAGGTGCTGGGTGAAGAGGTCTTTGCGGTTGAAGTCGTTGTGGTATAGAGCGTCGTCGTCTGGGTCTACCGACGGCGGGCAGAGATCGCAGCGCCAGTAGCCAAGCTTAATGTGTTGGGTACTGACGTGCCTCTTCCACTCGTTCTTGGAGACGAAGTCGGACTTGCAGCCGTATACAGCGAATGGGCAAGGGAAGGGGCGGCGATAGTCAGGGTGGGTGCTCAGGTCGATAGGACCCTGGGAGGCTTTTGAGGTCCGGCGTTGTTTCTTCTCGGATTTGATCGAAGTCGTAGGGCTTGACGCTTGTGATTCCTTGCGAGTGTGTGCGCGACGCTTTGATGTACGACTAGAGCTATTGCTCGACACTGTCGACCTTTTCCTCTTATTAGACCGACTAGACGTCGGACTATACTCGGAATCTGAAGTGGACTCTTCAGGGAAATCGACTGGTTCGACTGGTTCAACTGATTGAGCGTCTCGTGTGGATAGGCCAATTGCCGAGTCTGCATAGGCTGTGTACTCTGTTGTCTCTTCTGTCTTGACAGTTCCTTGCTGGTGGTTAGGGACGGCCTCTTGTTTGACATTACCATCTTCGACTTCCTCTGCAACTGCCTCCGTCACGGGGGTGTATTCGAGTTGACGAAGGGTACAGTTACCTGGAAACGGCGGAACGTCGACCTGGTAAGGAGCATTATGAAATTGCTCGATCGATAAACAGGGGAACGAGGTCTGAGGGTATTCCATAGGACCAGTGTATGGAGTAGCATGGTACATGTACGGAGACCGCAGCTCGTCCTGAGTATTCTGACTGGTGTTGCCAGAGGATGTGCAGTCAGGGGAAGGATGTCGAAGGCTGTCCGATGGGTGCCATTGATGCTCTAGATGTGCTGTGTACTGGTTGTATAGGGGCATGTTTGCCTCTAACATGCCGCTGCTGAAGGGGTACATGTCGTCCATGAAGCGCTGCATGGGTGGAACGCTGATGCTGCCTTCGCCAAAGTCATCGAAACAGATGTTTTCTTCCGAGGGATAATTTACTACATGCTGCTTGTATGGGTACATGTAGCTGTCGTGGTTTGTATTCCAGGTAAAGCGAGACTCCTCCATGTGTGTTTGTGACAAGTCTCCAAATTGGCGGGTGTCCATGGTGAACATTGGGACAAAATCTGAATGTAGGGTTGAAAAATAGTTGGACTGAGTGAAAATGTTAGAATAAACATTTCTGATACTGCTCGACGTTGCTAACTTACTCTAACCGTATCCAGAGATGCCCTAGTTCAAGATATCACTTTCTCTGCGATGGCACAGTCTGCAAGTCAAACCGCAAGAATATAAGGGGACCAGATAAAAGATAGCAAAACCAAAAGAGGCGGAGCAAGTATCAGGAAGGTGGTGGAGATCCAAGGCAGCAAACCAGAGTAGTTTGCTATTGGGTTGCACTGCCCTCGAATTCCGGTACTATGGTGTACCTCCACCCTCAGGCTCTCATGGTCCACAGTGTTTTATGCCATAGAGTCCTCGCAGAGCCGCATCACAGCCACCAATAAAAGTAGAGTTGCCTTGGCGTGTGTTCATCTTGCGCGCTTCAGCTTCACCGGTGGACCGGGCCCCCTGACCAGCTGTCAGCCACCACCTGTTTTACAGGGCTCTGGCTCCTGCCGTCTGCCGTCACGGGCGCATAGAGTGCAAGCCCCAGGGTGGAGCTGCAAATCAAAAAAGCAATCTCGTTAGTCTGGGTCGATCGCTGCCGTATGGCGATACGACGAAGCCAACCTGAGTCAATGAGCTGTTCCGCGGACAGCGTAGCTTGCAGAAGGTGTCCGGAAGAGGGTACGGGCCATGCGCACGTTCAAGATGTCAACCCGCAGGCCCACCAGTTTGACCGTTGGGGGCCAAAAAACGAACAAGTAAACGGACGACGCGCATTCGGAGGACGAACCACCTACACGACAGTACCGACATCTCACTTGGGAGGCCGCACATAAGGGTTCGTGGCCAGTCGCTGCCGGGCTGCTCGCCCGGGTGACCGGCACCAAGGATGCGATTGTTCCGAGGCCTATATCGCACAAGCAATGGCTGATGGGGAGCAAAGAACCCGACGAAGAGGAAGCGCCATTGCCATTGTGGGTGGAGTGTGGAGGATCAGAGGGTGGAGGGGTGGCATGTTTGATTGGAGCTCACCGCAGCACAGCTCATCAGAATGAGGGGCGCGTCTCGCCGAAGACGACTCTATTTGGACATGGAGATAGGATAGAGCATGGTCTGCCGGACAGTGTTTCCCGTGGCTTGTTTAGGATGGATCCATCTGTGACGTTGGCCGTGTATACCGTATGGTGAAGGTAACAAGAGTACGCCTAGGCTGTCTCAACATTTGTGTATTCCGTACGACTTGATGGAGTTGCCTGACAAACTAGGCAGTATGGTGCGTTGGCGAAGGCGCAATTGGGGGCGGAGCATGGCATGCTGTGATGGTGACCGACGAGTGGCGGCCAGGCAACATGGGCTCTGGAGGACTCGCTTGCGGGTCAATGCGCCTCTCAGGTCGAGGACAACGCGCCTGGAGGACCATCTGTTACCCCTGCGTCGACATGTGGACACACTGAACGCGGTTATCGTCAATCAGGAGTTTCTTCTATTTGTCAGGAGATTATCGGGCGACGCAGTGCATAAGTCGAGAAAGTTTCAAGCTGTTGTGATTAGTCCCCTCGCACAAGATGCCTTGGTTGGCACTTGGTCCCGTAGGCGTCCATGTTGGTCCGCAAGCCATGGCACCACTGCCCCCAAAGTTGTGCGACTGGAACATCATGTACGGCACTCATGGAATCACTCCTCTTCGGCCAGGAATCCAAACAAGGTATGGTTGTCGCTGGATAAATCATTTTTCTAGGCCAGTCCTCGATACTTAAGGACGCCACTTGACTACAGGGCTAAGTGACAGCTACTAGTACCTAGCACAATGTAGCGACATCACGCTCCAAGTTTGGCAACCAGTCGGTCTTCGATTCCCTCCAATATCCATCGGTGCTCCAGCACCTCCAGATTCTCGGCTTCATTGAGGAAGAGCTTGTCAGGGTCTTGCTCGGGACCCATCATACCACCCGCGCCTGGATTCGCCATGGCCATCTGTTGTGAAACCTGGTTGGCAGCTGAGGGCCCACTGTCAGCTTGAACTAGTAGTCAGGCGAATGTCTACTGAACACGTACCATTGTTGCTTCCCAGGATAAAGTTATAGACGGGTTGCAGGCCGAACAATGTCAGGAAGTACCAGGACAAACTCGACACCCATCTAACGTCGAGGTCACGAGTACCGACTCCAGACTGGAGCATCGATTTGAATTGTGGCGTCAACGGGAAAGGTAATTTCACTGTGGAGTAGCGCCGGTTAGCATATATCCATATTGCTTTTCCAGCACGGGAGATGCAGCAATTCGATGCGAAGCCATGACTCGAGAGCGCAAAATCAACAACCGCTCGCTTTCCCATGTATACAGGAGCCGAGCCGAGCGAAAGTCGGCATAGCTTAAAACATTCTAGAGCAATAGATCCGAGGTGCCAGCTGAAAATACCCCAGACCCAAGGGCCTGGAGATGCAAGCTCTGGAATACGAGAAGCCATTGATTTCTCCACAACCCGGCGCCTCAGCAAAGGAAATCAGCACTTACTAATAACGAAGCCCGAAAAAAAGGCATTGATCCAGCCCATAATCAGCGTCTGCGGAATCATCATCGTCATCTGGCCCTTCATCATGCCCATCATGCCTTCCATTGCCGCAGGATCACTCATGGGATTCGGTCTAGGCTTCCCCCTCATCTCAGGCTCCGCGAGGAACTTTCCCTCCTGGAACGCCTGCACCATGTATGCCTTGCGCGCCGCAAATGAGGCGGGCGAGATGACGTGCGCGTTTGTGCGCAGATTGACGCCGCGGACGAGCGAGCGCTGCTGGCGGATCTTGGGAAGGTCTTGCTTCTTAGGCGTGGATTGCAGCAGCGTCATGGCGTAGTGGCGGAGGATACCGGTAAGGACCTTGAGATGGGCGTCAGACTGTGGTGCATCATGGAAAATTGTTGAAAATGGATCTGTACCATGACGACGGTGATGGGGAGTAGAATCCACCAACTATAGTAGAAATATTAGCAGCCGTCTTTCGTCGCATCAATGCATCATCCACCACAGGTCGTGAACAACATACAACAGGGCGGGATCCCTATGGATCGTCTGGACTACGGGCTGCCCCATGGTTGGCGGGAACAGGCGAATTGCGCGGGATGGGCGAACGTTGAAGGGAGGGTGGAGGGGCGATGTTCAAAGTCGATGGTTGTCGTTCGGCCCAGAAACGAAGGTCGAGAGTCGAGAGCTACTCCGCCGCCCGCTGAGGCTCCGGCGGGACGACCAGGGTCCGCGCGCTTTGCCCTTGTGGAAAGGTGTCCCATCCACCACGAGCAACGCTCATCACCAATTCCTCCTCCGCAAAGAAAACGAGCGCTAGGCCCTGCGATTCTGAGCTGTCTGTTCCCGGTATCTCTCTAACCTAGTTTGTGCACATCAACTTTGAGAAAACAAACATGTCGGCAACTCAGAAAATCGCAGTGCACTCGCTGCCAGGTACGTTACGCGGGATGCTCAATGTTCAGGAATCTGCAATCCACGCATGCATTATATGTACATTTATATAAACACGAAACACTAACACATACTGTGCACAGATCTCAAGAGCACAACAGACGATGCCCTCCCCAATTACCTCAACAGCCTCAAGTTCAAGCAAATCCACACAAGCACCGACATACGATTAGTCCTCGGCTACACAGCCGTCACCATCGCAGGCGCCCTCTTCTACTACGACTGGAAATTCGGCTGGGAAGCCAGCAAGCCCTTCACTCTCCCCGCCGTAGTTGCCTACTTCGTGCTCAACAGCATCTTCACCTACTGGCTCTGGTTTGTAGAAAAGGGCCTCGTGTACGAGGGCGAGGGCAAAACAGGCAAGGTACGCATTCGACCACCTCCCAAAAAGAATTAACAGGAAGAGACCGAACTAAAAGGTGCCAAAGCTTCGAATATCGTCGTGGACAAAGAAACACATTCCCATCTACGAATGCGACGTCGTATTCACACCTGCCCCGTACGCTTCGAATCCTAAGCAGACGCTGCATATTCGCGCGCCAATGACGCGCTGGTTCACAGAAGATGGTTACTTTGTTGCAAAGCCTTTCCAGCAGTGGCTCGCGTCGGAGATCCCGGTCGTTGGCGCTGCGGACCCGAATAATGTGGTTGAGGAGATTGGTAGGGGAAGTGCGAATATGGACACGACATTGAACCTGAACAGCTCCAATGCCGTTGACATTCTGCAGCAGCTCAAGGCGAGCGGGGCCAAATTCGCGAGCGGCGAGGCCCAGAGACGGAGGTAGATGTGCACTATGTTTCGGAGAGCACGGAGTTGAAATGTGCAAGGCATCGGAGACGGACACTTTTATTTGTAGAAATTCAATTGGGAGCATTGGCTATGGCCCGCTTCAGCTTTTGTAAAAAATAAAAATAAAAATTGGTCGTTGATGATGAAATAAAAATAAAAGAGTCAACCGAAACCCTTTTCTTTAGGTTGGAGTGTCATACCACATGTGTACACATACAAAATACCTCCGAATGCTCATGACATGGAGCTTTTAGTGTTTCCTGAACTATCCAATCTCATCTTATTTTCCTAGCGCCTCCCCCCCCATCTACAACTACTCTTGCTCCAACATGGGCAGCACTTCGAGTTCTCGTTGTATAATTCTCTCAAATTCCTCCCTATCAATACCCGAAGCTCTCGCCAGCCGGAACAGACTCTTGATGTCTGTACTGATGTGCTGCTTGATGGCAAGCTCCGCTTGACTAGAGCTTTCTGCTTTTTGTTCAAGCTTCTCAATCGAGTTGGAAGACGCTGAAGAAGACGGTCGGGGGTGGTTTAGTGCATTGGCCGCCGTGTCTCGGTCTTGGTCGACCGACATTTGATGTAAGGCGCTGTCGTAACTTTGGATACCATTACCATTCATCAGCCCGTTTGTGTGGGCTGATGCAACGGACGAGTCGTAGCCATTGGGTCCGAGGTTGGATATGTCGAGAGCTTCACTTTGGGTGTAGTTGAGAGCGTTACCATTCAATGTAGACTCTCCTGCAGCTGGGCTTTCTTCATCAGGGTCATGTGCGTCAAGTGCTGGCTGGACCTCGGAAGCGTAACGCGCAAAATACTCGAGTTCTGATTGCGTGGGCCCAACTTGCGTTTGGCTATTGCTTATCGGAGCAGGAGAACGCCTAGGTTGTGGTGTTCTCCCAGGAGTTTGGTCATATGCGGCCCAGTATGAGCCATCATCCTCGTCTTCCTCTACGGCCACTTCTGGCTGAAGGGCCACTTGCTGGATTTTGACGCCGTTGCTCTTCACGGTGCCAGACTTTCGCCTGAAGCCAGCTTCATTTGCATCGGCGACGTTCTTGAACCACTCTGTGCCGTCCTCGGCGTCTGCTAGCCCTCTCAGCTCCGCCAGCAGCCAGCGACTTCCCCCTTCACCGCCTGTGCACCAAAGGTAGGTAGGTATAATTCCATATTCGCCCAACACCAATCTTGCATGTAGTGTCTCGGCGTCTGATCTTCGATACAAGATCTCGTCTGGCTCCTCAACCTCGATTTCGCCCGAAGAGGGATGCGGCTCGACGTCGATCTTCTCAATGGCTTCTGGGAGCCGAGACGCCACTTCCTGGTCCCAAGACAGCAGCGGAAGCCACTCGCTAGAGGATAGAAGCTGGACACGCTGGCGAAGTATGGGCGAGAGAAGAGGAAGAAGACCTGGAGGCACGTCTTTGGATGCCTTTGCTGTTGCTAGACAGGCGAGTAACGGTGGGAGAAGCTCTCTCGAGTCGGGCCGTGGGATGATTTCGCTGATTCCAGGCATGATTGGAGTGTGAGTAGGTTGAGTAGTTGTAAAGCTTGACGTTTACTGTACAGAGAAGCAATGGGGTGCTCTTAATTAATGCAGCGCACGTGGTGTTGAACTGTGCAGCCGACCAGAATACGGTGTTTAAAACTTTAGGCGTTGCGAGAAAAGGTGCTAAGGATGTCTGAGACTGTCCGTTCTTTTTCTTGTCAAGCCAGATGTAGTGCTATCGGGCCCGAAGCGACGGAACACTGTCGTGGTCGGTGCTGTGACAGCTCACAATGTAGTGGAGAGTTTGTTGCGCTCTGTTTGTGGTGCTGGGCTAGTCTGGTGATGCTGTCACATGCAAGTGCAGCCGCTTGCATACAAAAGAAGCTCTCTGAAGCGGGGGATGGTGCGAGTGGCGAATACTGGACTGTCGCAGATGGTTCGCAGAGATGATAAAGGGAGAAGAAGAGAGACGAGCAGCAGCAACCAGAGGCACTAATTGTGGCATTTTGACAGCAACCTGGGTTGGGTAAGTAGACAAAGTGGATGCGTTGCTGTTAGCCTCCGTTCCGCCGAAGGTGGATAGCCGTTTCCGCTGAAAGCAGAAGGGCCGGTTGCGCCTGCCCGCACGGCGATATGGAAGGTGCGACTTGCTGCCGATATGGTTAGCTTGGCCTGCCGCAATAGATCTGGTCAACCATCGACAGAGCACCAGATTGCACTGCTCGATTGCAAACACAAGCATCTTGAATCAAATCATGCGTTCCACTTTAGCTAATATGTACCCGAGATGCGGTCCGAGCTGCTTCAATGCCAATCCTGCGCCATGGTTGTACTGAACCGAACCAGACATACTCTACCTACATATGCACACTCTGCACAGACAAACACGGTACAAGATAAGCAGCCTCAAATAATATCAACACCATCACCATCATCATCACCACCACCACCACCACATCGACATTCACAATGACGTCAGCTTCTTCTTTGAAAAGCCAAACTTGGGAAGGCTGCGGGTACCTTGCATCCCTCAGCAGACTGAGGCACCATGCCACGATACCGTATCTATACCTTGGGCTCTGCTCTGCTGTAGTACACCTTCCTCTCTCCGACCTCTCCACTCTATTTATACGTGGGCGCGAATTGGCGAGCAACTGTGTGCCGGCCTGATACAGGATTCCACCAATGGCAGGCCGGCAACTCGGCATCTGCACTGCCTGGAATTGCATGCCACCTCGCCAGCAGTGTGTTTCAAGGCATCTCATAGTGTGGCTTCCGCTTTCATGACACTTGCCAAAGTTTACTGCTTGAAGGCTGACATGCTCGAAACCACCTGGCTGGAACCACAGCAGTGCGTAGTAGTCTACTACTCAAGACAACAGGCCGTCTTGCCATCCTTCCGACAGGCCCCACCATCAGCCGTTAGTATTTCGCCATTCGCTCGACGAAACCGGGGCTCAGCGACGAACTATGTAATACCTCACCCGCTCGCGACGTAGCTAGAGAGGCTTCATGCCCGTGCGTGGCTGATGGCGCCGATGCAATGTCATCGCATCGCGCATCGCAACATGGACATGTGCGCGAATCGGCAAGGCAAGACAGCGGCTCAAGGCCGTCAACGTGCCACAAGAAGCGTCTGCTGCCATGGCACCCACTCCCCGTGAGGCCCAATGCTAAGCCAGGCATACCTTTATATAGCACCCGCAGCGGCTGCAGACCCGCTAAGCGCCAGCGTATGCGGGCGGGTAGGTGGGCAGCGTTATGCGGACAGCGCGAAGGTTGACCTGATCGTATGCCCCAAACATACAGTGCTGTCCAGAGTGGCGTCGTTGTTGACCGAGGACACAACAGGGCCGCCCGGGACCATACACAGTACCAATTTCTCCATGTGGTTTGAGGCGGAGGCATAGCCACCCGCTCACTCCATAGTCGGCCCCCTGCTCCCGCCTCTGTATAGCATCTGAGGCTGTGCCGTTTGCATCAAGCTTGCCAAGACCCTGTCACGCATCGCCAAATCTGCCTCGAGGCGCCAGTCAAGCTCACAGCTGCCGTCGCATCGTCGCGCTTGTTTTCACCCATCCTGCTTGTTACTCACTGCTTTCCAACCATCAGGACACCCGGCGTCCGCATTGCCTCCAAAACACGGACACAGGCCCGCTTGGCGCGCATTCCCCTCTACCCCAGTCTTACCATTTTGAACATCTTGGGGAATCAGCCTTGACCGGCTCCTCTTACTTTCCCACGTTGCTGCGGCTGGCTCCACTGTCTACTTCGAATTTCACCCTGTTTCCGCCAACCGACTCCTCTTCGGAGACTTGCCTTGTTCTTTTGGCACTTGCTCGCACTCTCTCCCGAGCTTCTCATTCTCCATCTTAGGCCCGTCCCACATTGAACTGCCGGCACCGCCTCCAGCCACAACGGCTCCAGGATCCCCTCCTGTACAAGGCAGATCGCCAACCGGTATCAAGGTCCCAGCCGCCTGGCCTCCCTCGCCATCGGTCACGCCGCGACATTTTTCTGTCTCGATTTACCCTACAGTCAATCCATTTGCACGTCTGAAGGCGTTGCGACACTTACCCCTCCTCTTCTGCCACTGTGGTTTTCGCATAACTTGGATTGGTAACCCATCAGGCAGCACTATGCCACCCTGAATAGCCATACAGTGTCACGTTACCGCTCCGCACCATCCTGTTTGTCGCCACCCTCTGTGGATTGCTGTGATCCAATCTACCATTGAGTCAGCCTTTTGGTCGCCCAGCGCAGTCGGACGAACGATGCAGGTCGATACTCATACACAGCCTTTCCTAGATGCTCGCCGCCAGCAACGCCACCTCCAGGATGTACAGGCTAGCGGCTATCATCCCGCACCTACTACCAGCAATTTCCTAATGCCGGAAGCGCAAGGCGCATTTACCTTCTCTGCGGAACCTGCTTCCATGGTATACGATGCATCCATGGCCTCATCCGCTACTCCTGGGCAAGACACCATCCTCACACCTAATATTGGTTCTTCTCTCGACTCGTCGTTACATCCAGACATGTCATTCCCACCGTCAAATGTCTACAATCCGTCGCAAAACTACCACCTTTCCCCAGGTTCCTACTACGCAAATGGCCAAAACATCTCGCCTGAACAGTCAGTAGAACAGTTCAGCTCCGAAGCTGGGTACACGAGTGACCCCAACTATCAAGATCTCAGCACATGTCCGACTCCAAACTTCGGCGGACAAATCCTTGATGAGTTTTCTGCTCTCAATTTCGCCGACAGCAGTGCGACCAGTAATTTCCAGTCTTTCCAAGGAAACGTTGACATGTCAACTCTGACCACTGGTTCACTGAACATGTACAATGCTCAGCCAGCAATGACTCATTCCTATACTTCGCTGGATCCGCGCCAGCAATTACTATCACCCAGCGCAACCAACAACTCTAGCCCCGCATTGGGCGATGAGAGCTCTACGTTTCCTTCAACGCAGTATAACGGAAACATATCAACACCACCGAACCATGCAAGCCATCTGCAGCACACGACACCTACGAAACAAATGCAAAGTCCAGCACTAACAAACAGTCCTGGCAACGTGCCACCGGCCAACATTCAGCCCCTCACACGCCAATTGACAAGTCCCATCGTACGGGTTGAAAATTATAGCAGCAGCAGAGAAGGATCGCCTTCACGTTCAGATCGTAGCCGATCTATCGGCAGACTGAGCTTCAGTAGTCGCCATTCTGGGAATCATTTATCCCCCTACGCACATAATGATGTCTCGGAGAACGAGTCAGACACTCCAGAACGAACATATATCCAGCCAATGGTCAATAGGCCGGAGCGTAACGAAGATGGTTCATGGCTGGCACCCGGAGCATCTGGCCAAACAGGTCTTAGTCCTGATGATCGCCTAAAGATGGGAGATGCGTGGATCCCCAGCATTGAGGAGATTGCCGAACAGCGATCCAAGGAAGAAAAGAAACTGGAAGTGCAGGAATGGCTCACCAAGAGCGAAGTCGGGAGTGAAGCAGGCGATGTGGCACCCGCAAACAACCTCCTCAAGCCAATGACCGGCAGGCGTCGGGCGAAGAGCCATAACGACATCCAACGGCAGGCTTTGTCTAGCAGCTTTGGTCTCGGCGTCGACACAGACTTTGGCCGTATCGATGATACAGGTATACCCGGTCCGGGAGTATACATTGACGAGCGAAGCGACTTCGGCGATTACGATTACGAAGATGATGAGTCTCTAGAGCCCGAGTCTCCTCCTGCCGTCATCGATTTCGGTACAAGTCACGTCGAGAACTCGTATTTCCCGCCTGTTCATGAGATCGATTTGAATGCCAGTGCCATCGTAAAACCTTGGGTCGATGTACCTTCGGCAGCACCACAACCATCAAGCTCCGGCCGCTATCAGCCACCTACTTCAAATGCTGCCATGATGCGATTTCGATTACGAGCAAAAGATATTGAGCAAGCTTCCCTGGCCGCTACAGTGGGATCACGTCGTCTTAGTGAATCTGATATTGGTAGTCTTCGTGCTTCACCCGGCGTCGCAAAATTGATCGAACCTGACCCAAAAAGGAATAAAGAACGTCAACGCCGACCCAGTTTCCTCGAGACCATTCTCCCTAAGCGGGCGCCAAGCAGTCTACTGAAACGCAAGAGCAGCATCCCTGTTCAACCGTCTGACGCATCCTCGGACAAGTCAAAGGAACCTGTCATGGAGAAACCCAAGCGTATGAGTAGTTGGGGTCGTCCAAAATCACCACGAGTAGATACCAATCTCAGCAGTCACAGCAAAGAATCCGGCCCATTGAGCTCTACGGGCTTGACTGTAGCTCCAGCGGGCCCATGGTATAAGGGAGGACCTAGGAGCGTTATTAAACGTAGTAGAAGCAGGAGTGACATTGGCAAGTCACCTGGTCTTGCAGAGCTAATGACACAGCACGGAGGCCCTCCAATGCCCATGCTTGCCTCTCCTCTTGCAGATACAGAGGCCACGAAGCCCTCTGCACAGCCAAGTCCAGCTGGAGATGACGATGATGACGACCACGATCCAGTGACAATGGACCTAACGGTTCGCACCGATCCGATTATCCCAACGTATGAGGGCTTCAGGACAAACACGCGACAGCTCAACCCACGCCTTGATGACTTTATGGTTGAACGTATTACCCAGGAGCAGATGAGGAGATACAAACGATTGCTGGAATTTAAGGTGAAGCACTTGAATTCCGTACAGAGCAAAAAGTGCCCGTCAGGCAGCTTTTGTACGGACTTGGGTGGAGAGGCAAAATTGCTTCCTCCACGAACAGGAGCGAAAGATGCCGAAGCTCCGTTCATTGGTTTCCAAGTTACTGCCCCTGGCTCTTCCGATGATGATGGCGAGCACATGGTAGAGGGAAATATTGCCCCTGCTGCATTCCCATCAGGGGTACCGCTTCCTCCAGTCAAACGTCTTCCTGCTGAGTTTGAATGTCCACTATGTTTTAAGGTGAAGAAATTCTACAAGCCTTCCGATTGGACTAAACATGTACATGAAGATGTGCAGCCCTTCACATGTACCTTTCCAAATTGTGGAGAGCCAAAGTCATTCAAGCGCAAAGCTGACTGGGTTCGCCACGAGAATGAGCGGCATCGTCAGCTTGAGAACTGGACGTGCCAAATTTCTGACTGTAACCATGTCTGTTATCGTAAAGACAATTTTGTACAGCATCTTGTTCGCGAGCACAAGATTGCCGAGCCACGTC